TGTTAAAAAAAAAAAAAGATATGCCCTGACACCAGCTCAGATCTGTCAATCTAGTTTATAATTACTTTTTTAAATAAACTCATAAAAGAATGGAAACCTGCTAAAAAGCAAAAATAAAAAATAAGCTAAAATTATTTCCTGGTTCATTTCAATAATAATAAACATTACAGATAGCTTGTAATTCTAGCAAGAGCTAAGAACAGAAAATTATAAAGCTATTCCTCATCCAGGTAAGCAACACATTTCAGGTTTAACTTCCAAAAGCACAACACATCTGAATTTTGTATTATTACTGAAGCACACAGAAAGCAATATTTAACTTTTTTGAGGCATTAACTATGATTAAAGTTATAAAGAACTTCAAAATCTAGCTGTAATATTTGTTATTTAATCATCAATCTCTTCTTTCATTACATGACCAAGTGTCTTCTATGCACAAAACATCATAATACACATTGAAAATATAAAAATGCAAGGATCATTACTTCAAATTACCACAGTGGCCAGATAGGTAATTAACTTACATGAGTGAAGTAACCTTAGTGAAAGACAACAGGTAATGACTGGAACTATGGTGTACTGGAAAGAATGTATGCTCTAGCAAAAGCAGATAGCATCTCTATCTCTCAGTAATCATTCAAAAAGGAAAAAAATCTATTTCTATTGATAATTCGAAATCTGGTGTATCTTTGATTTTACAAGTTTACAGTGTCCAATAGTAACTATTTCCCGTTCAGTTTACATATAAGATAATCTTTTGCATTTGAGCCAAAGGATTTTCTACCAATGGCTCTTGACTTCTAAAGTTCAAAGTTTTCCCTGGATGATACATAAGACTATTTGTGATTTTCAAGGGAGCCGGCACATTGCCTTAAAGCAACAGACATTCATGTGAACCACTACAATCACTGGCCTTTTAAAGTCCAGAGTTTACTAATTTTGACTCAAATTTCTTTGCTGCATTATCAAGCCTGGCTGAAACTAAAACAACAACAACAACAACAAAAACACCCAAAAAAACAAAACAACTGGACAAAAAATTAAGTCAACTGCCCAAGCCAGAAGATGTACCTTTTTCTAACCATATCCAGACAGTGCCTTTATTCAATGAACTCTTTCTGGAGGAGTCATTTTCACAGGTAAGGAATAGTATCTCACATGGCAGGAACTAAAAATTAATGTTCCTATCAAAGAAATGACAGCACAAAGAACGGTCAGATAAAACAGTGCTATTTCCTATACCAAAAAAGATTCCTCAGAGAACTACAAAACAAAGGAACCTAAAAACTACAATGAGGTATCACCTCACGCTTGTCAGAATGGCCATCATTAAAAAGCCCACAAACAATAAATGCAATAAATAAAAAGAGTGTGGAGGAAAGGGAACCCTCCTATACTGTTGGTTGAGATGTAATTTAGTGCAGCCACTATGAAAAACAGTATGGAAGGTCCTTAAAAAACTAAAAATAGAACTACTGTATGATCCAGCAATCCTACTCTTGGGCATATATCCAAAGAAAACTCTAATTCAAAAAGATACATGCACCCCAATGTTCACAGCAGCACTATCTACAATAGCCAAGACATGGCAGCAACCTAAATGTGCATCAACAGATGAATGGATAAAGAAGATGTGGCATATATACACAATGGAATACTACTCAGCCATAAAAATGAATGAAATAATGTCATTTCCAGCAATCTGGGTGGATCTAGAGATTATCATACTAAGTGAAGTAAGTCAGACAGAGAAAGACAAATATCATATGATATCAGGTGTATGTGGAATCTAAAAAAAATGATACAAATGAACTTATTTATAAAACAGAAACAGACATAGAAAACAAATTTATGGTTACCAAAGAGGAAAGAAAGAGGAAGGATAAATTAAGAGTTTGAGATTAGCAACTATAAACTACTATATATAAAACAGATAAACAACAAGGTCCTACTGTATATATAGCACAAGGAACTATACTCAATATCTTATAATAACCCATAATAAAAAGGAATATATATGTGTAACTGAATCACTATGCTGTACACCAGAAACTAATACAACATTGTTAAATCAACTGTACTTTAATTAATAAATAAATTAACAAACCCAAGGGAGTCTAATTTATTGTCCTTAGATATCAAGATTAATGACCCCAACTCTCCAAAGTTTAGGAGAAAAGCAAGTAAGTGGAAGAGCTTAAAGTTAAAGTAGGAAGAGATCAGTGGCCAAATCAGAAGTTTAACAAGGACTTCGAGCTAAAGAGAATATAAATTAAAAGTGAAAAGATACATAACGCAAAAGCAAGAGCACTTTACTTGCATTGTTTGTTTTTTTATGAGGGGGAGGTAATTAGATTGATTCCTTGATTCCGCTTGGAGGAGGTGCTGGGGATCAAACCCAGGACCTCTTGGGTGCTGAGCATGTGCTCTCCCACTTAGCTATACCCTTCCCCCAGCATGAGCATTTTAATGTCAGCAAACAAACTATGTTCTCTTGCAGATCAAACTTTTCTTTTTCAGTAATAAACCTACTTTTATTCTTGGGTACCATATTTTGGCTATTATCCATATTTTGATTATAATCACAAGAGTGTGACCCCATCTGAGACTATGGTCATAAGTTAAACTACAATTCTTTTCTTGTCTCCAGTCATATTCTTCTTTTTAGGGAGCAGGAATGGATGAAGGTAGCAGGTTGAACAAAGGCTGGGATTTTGCCAGTGAAGATGGAGAGGGCACGAAAGTAGACGATACATTCAAGGAAGTGACTACCTGACAAACCTTAGAGGCTAAGCTAAAAAAAGTAGATAAGTAGAGGTACAAGGGGACAACCAAGTGATGGTGTCAAATGACTGACGGTCAAAATCAGGATGAACTGTTAGAATAGGAGTAAATAAACTGATGGATGTCGTCAGAGAATGGGATGATTTAAATCAAGATTTGGGAGATCTAAATTAGTATCTTGGAAGCAAGCACCTGAGTTGGAGTGGAGGGCAGGATGGTTAGAAAAAAAGAGTTTAAGAAAGAAGCCACGTTGTTGAATCAGTGTGGATTTTGGCTGGATATCACTAAGAATGACAACATGAATAACAGTATCAAGGACAACGAGCCTGACACTAAAATCTTCAGTGACTAAATCAGACTGATCGGACACTAGATTACCAACAGCATAAGGCATCAGCACTAAATTGAATAGACTGATGGCAAGGGCTTCAGGAGTGCTGACAGGTAAAAATTATTTATGTAAAATGTTTTCAAAAACAAATGCTTTTTAAAAAAACGCATAAATAAGTTATTTATGAATGGCATATGTAGTAGGAACATGAACTAAAAGTGTGAAACAAAAGTCATAATTGTAGTTGCCTAAAAGTCGTAATTGTAGTTGCCTAAGAAGAGAGGAGAATGGAAACAGAACATTATGATAAAGTTGAACTAGCAAGGTAAAACACTGTGAAAAAGTTGAAGTTTAATAGTTTAATGACAGATGTTAAAAAAAAAAAAAGAAGGAAAGAAAGAGAGAAAAAGGAAAAAAAAAGCACACTACATATGCCCACAAGGAGAAAAGTCAATCATTAGTTAATTACTACTTTTTAGGACTAGCTCTTTCATTTTTAAGTTTCATATTATTTTATATAAACAGATTTAAATAATTAGATTTAAATAAATCTAATAATTTAAATAAATTAAATAAAAGTAACATTTTTTTCCACTTCAACATATTTATTAGAAGCAGCCTGGCTATTGTACATTTGGCCATAATCAGGACGCCAATTCTCAACTTGTGGAACTGGCACATAAGACAGCATAATAAATAAATAAGATTGATACTTAAATTAGTGAATAAAATAGCTTATCATTGAATTTCATATCTAATAACAGATAAACATACATAAAGCCCTTCTATAAAGTTTCTGTGTAAGACCAACTGTATGGAAGAATTTCGAGTAAGTAATAAAGTTCTTTTCTGACACTAATGCAGTATAAGACATCATCTCTGTCCATTATTATAGAGAATGAATAGTATTAAGAAAATAGTTGTTATACTTGAGTAATTAATGAATCAAAGAGCAGAAGATGAAAGTGTATCACTAGAGGACAGTATATACATTTCAAAATATGAGTATTTAGCTTATAGAGATTAGTGATGGTAATGAAGTTGGACATTTTAAGACTGGAAACACTGCCACTTAAATCACAAATATCTCTAAAATTCTACAACTTAAAAAGGCAAACTTGGAAAAGCACATTACAGAGTACATTTAAGATCTTACTACACATGGGTGCTTCTAATATTGATTCAACATACCAAACAAATAAGTCTTTTCATTTTCCAACCAACACAAATACATTAAAAATATATTTAAATCTCATCTCAGCTTGTACATCAAAAAAAGAAAATCAAATAGGAAACTTAAAATTATATAAGTACTTTCATTACAATTCAATTCTAGGCAATACAACTGTATTGTGCACAAACATAGTTAGGCAATACACTAGGAGCTAGAAGTACACAGATAACATCTGTGCTCATGCAGCTCAGAGTATGGAAAAGCCCAAGTTTTAGAAATATTTTAAGTTATTGTTTCTCAAAGTACAGCCCGTGAACCAGCAGCACCAGAAGCATAAGAATTATCTTGCTTGTTAAAAGAATTAATTGCTTGTTAAAGTATACTTCTGTGCTCCATCTCACAACTATTAAAACAAAGTAAGAATCTGTATTACTTGCAAATACCTCTGGTGACTTATTTACATAAAAGTTTGAGAATCAATGCCTTAAATATTAAAAGTAATTACTGCTATAAAATAGTAAAGATGAAAAAGCTCAACCCCCCTTCTAATTATGAAGATTCTGACATAAAGTTGATTTTTTAAACTTTAGGTTAAAATGCTTAATAGTTCTTTTTAAAATATTTGTATAACATTTAAACTTTATATCGGGAAACTTTCATTAAAATACAACACCCTAAGGAAATAAAATAGATTTAAGCAAACAAACTTACGGTTAGTGATATCAGGTGGTGCATAGCCATCGTTCATATACATACTTGTGGGTTTTGCCACTTTCAAATAAACAAAATCAGATGTGTTCTTTAAGGCAGTTACTGCTTCTTCATGAGTAACTTCTTCTAAACACACACTATTCACCTAAAAGAAAAGAAAATCCCTAAAGTTTTACTTCTGCCTTTCCAAACTGAATGTCTGTTGTTGTTTTTTTCTTATTGTCTTGGGTAGAATCTTTGGTACAATGTTGAATAGGAGTGATTGTGTCTTTCTAGGAATTTGTCCATTTCATGTAAGCTACCTAATGTGTTGACACTGAGTTATTCATAAATAAAAGTATTCCCTTATGTTCTCTCTTTTATTCCCTACTTTTAGAATTTGAGTCATCTATTTTCCCTTGGTCAGTCTAGCTAAAAGTTTGTTAATTTTGTTGATCTTTTCAAAGACCCAAGTTTTGGTTTTGTTGATCTCTATGGCTGTCCTATTTCCTATTTCATTAATATCTGCTCTAATTCTTCCTTCTGCTAGAGTTAAGTTTAGACTGCTCTTCTTTTTTGTAAACATTTTTTTTTCTGCAAAGAAATAAAACACTATAAATGTTTCTAGTTTTTAAAATTACAATGTACTAAACGAATGTTCACTTAAGTATAATTTTTGATTCTATAATCAACTAGAGAAAATATTTTAATATTTTGACAAAAATTTCTAAAGGTCACAGAACAATCCTAACTTTCCCCATTGATTATTAATAGTGCTTTGCAGGGTCATTTTTATGGCCCTACCCTACAGTGTATTGTGAAGACTGCTTGCGTTTTGAATTATACAGCTGTGGTATACTGTTCTTTTGATGGCCTACAGTGAGGTATTAGTAACTGTGATGCAAAGAGAGGATTAATAAATGCCACACATTAGAGCTGTTTTCTTGGAAAGCTCACTCTTGGTATGTCCCTCTTGGAACTTAGTCACCATCTTGTGAGAAGCCCAACTTAGCCATGTGGAGAGGCCATTGGAGAATTAAATACCTGGCTATCAGCCCCAGTTGAGCTTCCAGCTGACAGCCAAAACCAACCTGTCCACTGTGTGTGAGCCAACTTGGAAGTGGGCCCCTGGCGCTAGTTGAGCCACCCCAGTAGACATTATCTGAAGTAAAGACAGGCTGTCCTGGCCAAACCATACCCAGACTGTAGAAGTGTAAGCAAATAAATGATTGTTGTCATTTTAGTCACTAATTTTCATGTTTTCTTATGCAGCATTAGATAGCTAATAAAAGAAGTGACAAGATTTGCTGAGGGATTCAATGTGCAGTGGGAAATAAACTGATTCTAAAGTTTTAGACCTGGGCAGATGGAAGGATAAAGTTCCCATTTAGTGAGATACAAAGATTATGCAAAGACCAGGATTTGGGGTGTGGGGTGTTACTGGTGCTGGTGGGTGGTGTTGTGACTTGGAGATTCATTTTTAGATATAGTTGTCCTCTGGTATCTATGGGAGAATTATTCTATGAACCCACTGCCTCCTTCACTTTCTGCGAGGTTACCAAAATCTGCGAACTTTCAAGTTCTTTACGTACAATAGTATATATAGTATTTGCATATAACTTATGCATTCTCTTTAAATCATCTTTAGATTACTTATAATACCTAGTATAATGTAAATGCTATGTAAATAGTTGCCAGCCTACAGCAAATTCAAATTTTGCTTTCTGGAATTTTCCCCTCTAAATATTCTCGATTCTCAGTTGGTTGAATTTGCAGATATGGAACCCACAGATACACAGGGCCAACTGTGTATATTAAATTTGAGATGACTCTTGAGACATACAAAAGGAGACTAAGGTTCAGAAAACAATATCTATCTCTATCAAGAACAATGAAACGCAGTAAGTTATTTGACCACCTATCAAAGAGAGAACACAAAACATAGAAGTACTGAATCCTGGATCACTTCAATACTTAGAGGTAAGGGAGAAGATGCATCAAAAAGAAGAATGAGAAGGAGTGGCTAGTGAGGTAAGAAGAATAGCAAGACAGAGGGTGATTATTAGGCAAACTGGAAAAAGTGTTTTAAGAAGGAAGAAGGTGTGTCAAATGCTTGATATAACACTTAAGGTGAAAATCAGGAATTAAATAATTTCAGTGGAATTATGGCAACAAAAGCTTCACTAAATGGTAAATCAGCATAAATTGCTGGCTCCCTACCCCTAAAATTGATTCTGGAGAAACAATAAAGGAAAACATGGTATCTAAAAATTAAAAATAAAAATGAGAAACCTAGTGGAGAAAGAAGGCTGTCTTGAACTGGTGTACGTGTGTAGGGTATATGTGTGTACGTGATGATGAGGGGGTGTTGGCTGCACCTTGGAGAAAAGAGTAGCAAGTCATAGATGTGAGAGGGTAGGTTAGAGAAAAGCAGTTGAAGAACAGCTCCTTCCTCTTCCCTGTCATTAACTGAAAAATAATCAGCTCCTCTTCCTAGCAGAACTATTCAAATGTCAAAAACTAAAAAATAAAAAAGAAGAAATAACTCAAATCACTACTATACCAGATTTAGATTATATGCCTTTTCAGATTCACTTGAGCCTACCTGCCTACTAGAGGCCTTGGTTGCTTGCTCAGTGGCGAGTCCTGGCTACTGCTACTCTCTACCATTACCTCCTCTTCTGGAGTAAGGACTGGGCCTGGGCATGGCTGATATGTTCCACATATTGAGAGCTGTAACATATTAGAAGACCATGTCTGACCTGTCTAGACCACTGAGGCTCTAGCCCTCCCCACCACTTCTGGATTTAGGGGAAGTGGTATGCCAGAATATGGGAGCTGGCTTCCCTAGCATTTGCCCAGAGGAGCTGGGTAACATAGTCCAGAAATCTGGGACAGTTAACCCCTGGGGAGTAGACTCTAACTAACAAGAGATAGGAGACTAAAAGGGGCCAGCAGATAAATCCTTTCTTTTCCTTGGCTGGATCTGAGGTTTAGTGGTTCTACACTGACTGCCTGGAAGACTGTCCTACGTGACAAGCAATCAGCTACATTTTCTTATGAAATTACAGCCAGCTCAGAAACATAATACCTTGTATTGCCTTTCTCTCATTCTCTGCCTCATTTTTCATTTCACTCACTCTAGCTTCTCTGAAGTCATACCTCCCTATAATACCTTAGCACAGTAGTTTTTTCTTCAGGTTTTGTTTTCCCAGGGAACATGAACTAAGATAATTATTGATGAAGTTTGAATAAATAAATTGTGATACAGTCTATAGTACCAGAACAGAATATTATATAGAGGTGAATGAATACATTTCAGCTCTAGGCAATAATATGGCTAAGTCTCAGTAAAATAATACTGAGTGAAAAAAGTATTAAAAGACTATATACAGGACAAGAGCCTTTAAAATTTTTTCAAAACAAATAATACTAAACAAACATTTAGGCATATGTATGTGATTAAACACTCTTTAAAAAACAAAAGAATGAGAAACATAAATTGTTGATATTCTAGTTCTTGGGATGGGTAAGGACTAGCAGTTTTTTTTTTTACTATATTATAAAGAAAAAAAGAAAGAAAAAAGGTCACACATGAACAAAGAATGACACTGTTATGAACCTAAGGATTATGATTAAACAATTTTGTGCATCCAAGCCTCTAGCTCTTCAATAAACAAGAGAAAAAAGAAAAGGAAAAAAAAGAAAAAAAAGAGGGGGGCTGGTAGAGGAAATGGAATTCGTAAGCAAAGATAGTAAAGAATTATTTTTCAGGTTTTGACTACTGACTCATCTAAATATCATTTAAACATTTTTGGCATGCAGAAATTCCAGAGTCTGTCAGAAAAAAACATTAAAATGATTTTTAAAACAATGGATTTCTTATACTTACTGCTAAAAGTTTATCTCCAATCTGAAGTTTACCATCTTTATGCGCGGCACCTCCTTCAATTATTTTGGTTACATAGATGCTATTATCTCCAGGAATATGTTGATTTCCAACACCTCCAGCAATGCTGAATCCAAGACCTGTTTGGGAATACACTAGTTTCAGAATTTCACCAATAAACGTAAACTTAAGTCCAGAAAGAAATGGCTGAAAACTAGAAGGTGATAATTTTACTGAACTAATGTTTTTCAAAGTAGAAAAGAATCTATTTACCTACTTTTAAAACCTAAAGTATTTTGTAACCAGGGGATAATCCCAAATATATGGGCCCCTAGAGTCACAAGTAAATTCCTTTTCCTCCACCCTCCAAGTTACATCTTACAGTTTCTTCGTAAATGAATTTGTTAGTGCAAAGAGATACTGTAAAATTGTTTCACTTTTTTTTTGTTTTGTTTCACTTTTGTTTCCATCATAATTGTATTTCTTAACTAACATTTTCAATACTTTCACAAGATTAAAACAATTGGGGGACACAGGGAACTATATTCAATATTTGTAGTAATCTTTAATGGAAAAGGATATGAAAACGAATATATATATGTATATGCATGACTGGGACACTGTGCTGCACATCAGGAATTGACACACTGTAACTGTACTTCAGTTAAAAAACTGGGGGAAAAATTGGTGGTTGTGGGCAGAACTAACAGCTTCAGGAATGCAGATGCTTCTGTTCTTTTTCAATATTCTATGAATTAATTTTAAATAAGGAATTTCAATAATTCATAAATCCCATAGCTTCAATGCCAGACAAACTTATAGCTCTCTATTCCTTTTCCATGAAGCCACAAATTAAAAACAGTATTTCAATTTATCCTCAATCCTATCCATGTTTTCAAAATTCAGAAATCACATCCTAACATTCCTTACTATAGATGTAACTACTAATGATACCCTAAAAAATATTTTCTTCTTTTAACTTATTTAGCCTGTGTACCTGCATTTAATTTACTTTGTAGATTAATGATTACAAGTTAATATCAACACTTGTATCAATGACTTCAAAGTGTTTACAAAGAATTCTACTCAAGACAAAAATCAGTAGAAATAAGAGAAATTCTAAAAATTCACTCAAGTTTTGCAGATTACCATTATTGTTAATTAGAATGTGTCATAAGTAACTTCATAGTTACATTTTACTCAGCGATTCTTACTTAGTAATTTGTTTTAGTTGGATTTACTTCATACCTTTAGGACCTTTAATGAGCTTTATTTCCATTATTTTTTCTGATACTGGTTTCCGTCTTTTTACATACAAGCGTACAATAGACCCTGCTTCTTTCAAAGCTTCAACTGCTTTGCTATGTGTTACATCACGAACATCTACTTCATTTACTCGCAATATACAGTCATTGACCCTGAGGAAAAAAGTATTCAAAATAAAAATTAAATGTTAACAATTTAAATATCATTTCTTCACTCTGCCAATTTTTCTTGTCATTTTCATTTTTTAAAATAGAGATTTATTAGAATTATTTATTAGAATAAACTGTATGTTCAATTCCAATGTATCAAATACTCATAGAAATACAAACATTCCCAAAGGGCCAGCAAAAGTAACAGTGTAAATAGATTATTATTCAAAATATTAATGATATTGTATGATTATGTATAGAAATTATGTATAGAAATTAAGATACTTTACCAAAACAGTAAATATTTACTTAGCATTAAACACATGCTAGGAACTTCTTTGAGTGTTTTAAGCCTTAAAACAACTTGTAAGGTAGATACATATTTATATCCCTATTTTATAGATGGAGAAAATGAGGCACAAAGAGTTAAAATAACTTTCTCAAGGCCACCCAGATAATGACTAACAGAGCAGTGATTCAAAGATAAGAAAACTGAGGCTAAGACTGAATAACTAGCTTATGGTCACAGAGATAGTAAGTGGCAAACAGATTAATCCACTGATTTAACCCAAAATAAACCGATCTCAGTTTCAACTCCATGGTATTCCATCAGAAAACAAATTAAAAAATGGTCATTTCAAATTGAGCAGAGAAGGGGAACAAAACACAATTAAAAGATTTAAATTGATGATGATAAACTTCTATATCCAATTAACTTTCTTTAGAGGAAAGAAATTCTGTATCTAAAGACAGTGATACCTTAGAGTTAGTACTATAGGTATGTTCTCCAGTGAAACAAATAGAGTATGTTAATTTTCACACAAGAATTACAAATAAAAGGCCAATAACAGAATCAGGAAGTAAATGTTTACATTTACATGAGTGGACAAATTATTAATTTTATATCTAATTTCATTAATATACCACCTGTCATATCCAGTGATAAGTAAAGTTTAGAAACTGAAAAGCTGCATAAGGTACCAGCAGCCTTAAAATCAGAGGTTCTTTTTAACAGACTATACAAAAATCCGTAGTCCTAAAACTTCAGGAAACTCTCACCATGCATTAAAAAAACAAACAATGGAATAGGAAAAGTGCCACAATCTACGGCATAAGGAAGCAATAAAGTATGCTAAAGATATCCTCTGTATTGGAAGGTTAAATTTAGACAAGAGAGCAATGTACATTTATTCAATTAAGAAAATATATTAATTTATTTAAAGTTTGCATAATCTTTACTCTTTGTGGTATGGGATTCAAACTCAGATATATATGATTGATGGTATCTCAAATAAGTTTATATACTTGTTTCCCACCCAGAAAATACATGGAAAACATTTTGGGAAAGTATTTGAACATATAACAGAAAAATCTGATTTTTATAAATTTGCTCAAAAATATTTAAACTATCAAACTTACTATTCAAAATGTTTAATTTCTAAGATAAAACTGAATTCCTAACTGAAAAGAGGAAAACAATGCTTAAAGCACAAAGATTTCATTCATTCATTTGATATTTGAGCATCTACCTTATGTTGGTTATTATGACAGTGTTTCTTATTTGTATTTATTCATTGTTCAGTCTGCCACAAGAAAAATATACAAAGTGGATTTAGTATCACAACATAAACTGCAAAACATACCGCAACCTTCCATCTTGGGCAGCTGCTCCCCCTGCAATAATTTTGGTAATGAAAATACTTGAGTCATCTCCAATGTGTGGGTTGTCTGTACCTCCTGCAATGCTGAAACCAAGCCCTGAATTTCCCTGGGGACAGAGGGAAAAAAAATTTGAGACTGAGTAAGAATTATCTTTATTGACAGGTTCCTGTCATTACGGGACCTAGAAACTGTACTAACACAGGGAACATACATCATAAAGGCATATGCATAGGGAATATGGTGATTCTAAAAATAAGAAACATAAGGAAAGCTCTTTTTTCTCTATGAATTAAGAGGTATTATTGCTAGGCAGGTGAGGTTGAAGAACAGGTACTAAGCACTTTTGGAGTCTGATCTATAGTTCTTTCTTGAAAAGTATGTGTGCAATTTGTCCTTGCAGAGGTGTCACTATTAGATCTCTTTCTTTTAGACTGCATCTTGCTCATGTTTGGTAAGGCAAATTGTTACTAAGGAAAAAAAAAAAACTGATGTGATCCTTCTGCTGCAATTAGTTCTATGTAGGCAATACCAATACATTATTTCAGCCTTTTACAAAAGGGATACTGGATGGTGCTTTTCTTCCGCTAACTTTGTCATCAGCTTATTTTAAAATGTATCAGCTAAGTAACACAGCCACCATCCTTGATGTGTTTAACTAAGGCACCTGACTAGCAAAAGGCTTTTTTAAAAAAAATATTGAAAGCCCAACTGCAGAACATAACTTTGGTGAACTTTCTTGTCAGCAAAGTCAATTTTGCCAAAACAGTGCTACTTCTTGCTTGTTTTTTGTACTGGATTTTTGAATAATATTTTCTCTGAAGAAAGGGTTCTATTGCTACAAAAAGGACAAGTGATCTAAGCAAAGGTATTAAATGTTTATTTTTGCAAGAATGTTCTAACTCTGGCTTTCAGGCAGCTCAAATAAGCTGGCATATGTGAATCTATTACTTAACCATTAGTATTAAATAGCTTAAACATTCACTGTACTATATGTCCTAAAACTCTATTTTAACTTTTTTTCAGTCTGAACTCTACAAGAGTTACTAGAGTATCAATAACTGTATGAATAAATTGTGTGGGGCTACCAATTTACTCAGGTATTCAAGTTCTGCTTTTTAAAAAATTGAGATATAATTACAAATAACTGTATAAGTTTAAGGTATAAAACACATGCTGATTTGATACATTTAAATAGTACAGTAATGATTACCACTGTTATCAGCTAACACCTCTATGAGGTCACATAATTGTCATTTTTTGTGGTGGGAACATTTAAGATCTAGTCTCTTGGCAATTTTGAAATATGTAATACAGAACTGATGACCATATTTGCTATGCTGTGCACTAGATCTCTGAAACTTACTTATCTTCTAGCTGCAGGTTTGTACCCTTTAACAACATTTCCCCAATTCTTGGAACTCAAGGTCTTTAGTCAGTGAAAAATGCAATGTACGGTTCCGACTAAATAAAGGAATTTAAAAGGTACTAGGAAAAAATTAAAAATGAGTAAGATAAAAAGGATAATAGTCAAGAGATTTCAATAAAACTGGAAAAAACCAAAATGCCACATTAAAATGTGACATTAATACTGTTTACTTGTAAGATTCAGTCATCCACCTCACTTGGAACAGGTGACCTAAATTCAGGAGTAGGCAATAAAAATCTATTATACATGTAAAAGATTCTTTCAGGTCTATTTTCACTCAGTCTATTCTGGCTTCAAACATAAATAAATCTAATTATACAGGATTTTAGTCTTAAACCTACATTCAGTTGCTTAGAAAATTTACTTGTATGGAACACTTCACCCCCAAAAATGCTGGTCAGACAAGGTGGTATTGCTAAAGCACAGTATAAATTGAGCAGATATTCTTAAGGAGAAAAACACATTAAGAAAATTTAAACATCTGAATTGTATCCTTATTTTCTGACTGGGGGAATTCATGAGACGTTTTCAACAGTCTTTTCCATTAAATCTACGATTATTATTTTGCTGGGAAAGAAAACTGACAGAATGACCATGTTACTAGGATACTAAATACTTATTTAAAATAAATAATATTTTATTATATGAAAAATAAATAAAAATAAAAACTGAGAAAAATCTGAGAAACTGTCAGCCTAGAGGAGCCTAAGGAGACATAATAACTAAATGTAATGTGGTATTCTAGATGGGACCCTGGGAAAGAAAACCATAAAAACTAAGCAAATTCAAATGAAGTATAGACTTCAGTTAATAATAATGTATCAATATCAGTTCATTAGTTGAAATAAATGTATTCTAGTAATGCAAAATGTTAACAATAGGTGAAACTGAGTCCAGGGTAAATGGACACTGACTGTACAAGTTTTCTATAAATCTAAAAGTATGTTAAATAAAAAGTTTATTTTTAAAAAGATGTTATTAAAGAAAAGCAACATGTTCTGAAAAATGCCACAGCTAATTTTATGATATGTGGGCTTATTAAAGAAATGAATACTATACGGTTCTGTTTTTGAACGATGATCTTCCTTGGATTGTATATGAAAGAGCAGTATATTTAATGAGTTCTTTAAAGTAACAGATTTATGCATAAAAACAAGATAATTAACAGTTTTTACCCTTTCAAGTGTGATTTCTTCATATTCATAATCTGCATCAGTGCCATTAACCTAATGGGGGAAAAAGAAGTAGCAGAGATATTTAGAGTAAAATGTAAAATGGCAAGATATAATTTTGCACGACTTCTTAACGAAAAACGTTAAATATGACAGTAATCAAATAATACAGTTTCATTTTAATAATTTAAGGAAAGATTTCAAGGAATGCAAAAGTACAAATGTGATTAAAGAGTTGACATTCATGGTACTATGACTTTCAAATACAGCAAGGGTACAGTTAGCTTTTAATACTAGTTGAATTCCTATTCTCATCTCTGCCTCAATCCACACATCTAATCAGTTGCCAATTCTTACTGATTTAAATACATCATTTTTTGTTGGAAAGCCACCATCTCTTCATTTGCATTTCTATTACCTTTGTTCAAGCCTTTGTTAATCTCTTCTGGATTACTGCAAATGTAATCTACACCATCTCTTAGATTGGTATTCTCCACTGCTCAAATCATTCTAATGTGTTTTACGCAGATGGATTTTTATGGAGCCCATATATAGTAACATACTTTCCCTAAAACGTTCAGAAACTCTCATACAAGACTGTATGAACTGGCCCCAATCTATCACTCAACTTCATTCCTAACGTATGTTTCTCATGAGCTTATACACCATCAAATTTGAATGACTTGCTCTTTCCTTTATATATCCTGCAAGTTCCTACCTCCACATCTGTTACTTTAGTGCTTCCTGTCATAAATTTCAGTTACGTATTTCATGTTCAAGTTTGATTCACCATTCAAATTCCTGCTCACATCACACAGACCAAGAATTTTCTCTCATTCCTTCTAATTTATTCCTTATACCCTCCTGGAAGAATTAATTCCCACAGTGAGAGCCAAATGGTGAAGGCTGAATAGTCCTTGGAATCAGATTAACTTGGATTCAAATCATTGCTTTAACATTTCTGGTGATATGAAGCCAGGGAAAATAATCTAGTCAGTCAAACAGGGACTGTGATAAACTGCATTCTCTAGATGCTACCTATCTTTCATGCTAACATGCTCTTTTGCAATATGGTTAAACCATCCTACCATCAAGCGATGTTATCTATTTCCCCTTCCTTTGGATCTAGGCAGATCCTAAATGAGCTCTGTTAAAAAGAATGTGGCACAAAAAATGCTGTGTGGTTTCTGAATCTAGGTCATGTGATGCCCTTGTATTGTTTGCCTTCGTCTTAGAATGCACTTTCTTAGAATCCAGAAGCTATAATGTGAGGAAGTTCAAGTACCTATGAGGAGATTCAAATGAAGGAGCAACAAGACCCCTGACCAATAATCCCAGGTGCACTTCTAACCAGCAGCTAGCACCAACTGCTAGCCATGTGAATGAGGCTATTTTATTTTGGATCTTCCAGTCTTTTCCAGTGCCCCACTCAAGATCATGTAAAGCAGAGCTATCCACTTAACCCAGAAAATCATGAGAAATAATGAATTAATTTTAAGCCACTAAGTTTCAGGGTGATTTGTTATACAGCAACAGAATAATGAAACAACAGAATAATGAAATCTATGTAAGCTACTTTGTTTTCTTTACCATACTATAAGAAAGCAACCCCTAATTCAGATCCAATTCAGGAGCAAGGGGTTCTTTTCTTGAGGGCTTTTGAAACTCATCTCTACTTTTTTGGGTTCTTAATTCTTATGGCTCTAATGGACTGAGACCTAATTGCTACTTTGTTTTATTTTCTTTTTAACCTGAAGAGATTTTCTTGTTTTTGAAATGATGTGTTATAAATAAATAAACAAACATATTAATCTATGCTTTCTGTGCCTGTACAGTGCAGCAGGATTATACATATACATATCCTGCCAACTTTACTGGAAGTTCTTTTTTATGAGTAAAAATAAAACCCGTATCTGCAGTTCCTGTTCTAAAGGTTATTTGTACCATTTTTAATTTTTTTTTGCTAAAAGTCTACCAGTCTTTATCAAAGAAGTAGTTTTAACATCGTTAATTTATTAAATTTTATGTTATTTTTCTGCTTTTATTTTTATCAATTCTTTCTTTAGACTTTTTAAAGCTTTCTAAGTTGAATGCCCAGTTATTTATGCTTATTACTTTTTTCTATTTTTAAAAACACTCATTAAAGTTAATAAATTTTTCTCAGCATATGGCTTGGCCAAATCCCAAAACTGCCACATTGGGCTCTATATTTGTTCATTTGTTTATTTCTAAAAAGCCTGAAATTTTATTCTGGAAAACATTTCCAAGTCTGTACTTATACAGCTCTTTTGGTGTTAATATGCAAAATTTTTGTGTTGTGACCTCATAATTTCTGCTTTAAGGAATTTAAGATTTCCACCATTAAGCTTTCTCAAAAGCTAGGTATTTAGTAAATGTCCCTGACACTTAATGCCAACTCATGATGTACTGATATCTGGTAAGGATTACAGGTAGCATGGAGTGATTTTAAAAAGGTAAAAAGTTAGCGGGCCATATGAACCCCAAATGACTTTATTCCTAAACCTTCAATAACTTGCAACTGATAATTTCATGTATAGAGAAAATTCAATAACATCATTAAACACATTCAAACTGGGCTTCTAAATGCCAACAGCACATTACCAAACCCACAAATTATAAGTATCACTTCATTAAAGCAAAAGTAAAAAAAAAAAAAATAATAAAAAGAGCCAATGTTGGTGTAATACTTTGAAAAACAATACGGCTTCCAGCAAAACCACAAAATGGTTGGTTTGCTTAGTTTTCCTTTTATAGTATCTTGACAAAATGTGGCTTCCAATAGGAAAGAAATGCTTGGCTAATGGGTTTATTACTCTCAATTAACAGGATAAAGTGAAAGATAAAATTAGAGAAGAAAGAACAATCTTTAGATAAAATATTACAGATAAGACATCTGAGTTTTTTTCTCTTTAAAAACAGAAAATAGATTTAGAACACTTCTTGAGAACTGTCATTGCTAGTACTTCCTGGTTTTGTAGTCCTATTAACAAATCAGTATTGTGTATGGGGGGGAAGGGTGAAAGCTGTAGAAGAAACTAGAAGTGGACTGGGGCCTGATTGTGAAAGGCCTTGAATGCTTTCCTGATGAATGAAAAACATTCTCAAAAGTTTTGAGCATCAAGTAAGTTTACTAGATTTTCCAGAAAAAGAACCGTGGCAGTATAACAGAAATAGAGAGAAACCAGAGAAAAGTAAACTGGTAAAGAAGTTATGGCAACAGTTTGAGTAAAAGGCAAAAATTCCAAAGACATTTAAGAATAGCTGGTAAATTCCTCAATATTAAAAAAAAAATCTTAATCTTAGTGGGGAAAAAGCTTCATAAAGCCATAACTAAGAACAGCTGATCTATAATAAATTTGATCAGAGAAAAAAAAAACAGATTATATAACATATAGCAAAGGTGAGTTTTATTCCACTTATCTAATCTGGTTTGGGACCAGAACTGAGCTACCTTAACTAAATTATGCTTTATAATATGTTTTATTATCTGGTGGGGAAATCCCCCACAATACTTTTCTTTTAAATTTTACTTAGTTATTCTTGAGTTTTTAACTTTTCTATACGAACACTGTCCAAAAGAAGTTTCTGTGATGATGAAAATGTAATACAATCTACCTTGTCTAATATAGGAGTTACTATCTACATATGGTTACTGACTGCTTAAATTGTGACCAGTGCAACAGAGAAACTGTATTTTAAATTTTATTGAATTTTAATCAATTTAAATTAAATTTAAACACCAACATGTGGCTAGTGGCTACTATTTTTGGATGGCACAGCTCTAGATGAATCATCAAGTCCAACTCTATCCCTCCAAAACACACACACACATTCTCTCTCCTCCTTCTGCCTCCCTTTCCTCTCTCCTCCCCTGACCTGAAACACACATTCTCTTTTTTGGTGCTATGCTTGGCACTATACCAAATTTATACATTAATCTTGGAAAAATTATGACCTCAACTTTATCTTCCTGTTCAGCAACAAATTCTCTTCTGTACTTACTCAGGTATTCTCTTACGCCATCAGTAAAGCTGTGTAGTTTTCTTACTACAAACTCTATACATTTCCTATTAAGCTAATTGCTAGGTATTTTGTATTTTTGTTGATAAATTAATGGACTCATTTTCAAATGGTTGTTGCTAGTATATTGGAATAGCATTTATTGTGTAACTTTAAAGTTGTATAAGCTTTCTAAAAAATATGATTTGCTTTAGTTATGGATAACATGCCATAAAGAAGCAGAAGAAAATTTATAATACAGATATCCTCAGTCCCTTATTCCCAAAGATTTTAATTTTCTAAACAGCCTGCACTAATATATCCAAACAGGACACACAGATCCTAATACATAATAGGTATAAGATTGTTCAAAGGAAGATAAAAAGAAGTCTAATTTATTAATTCCCTGTCATTTAGGTGCATTTTAGGTTCTAACTATAGAGTAATATAATGAAATTCAAGATTTTATTTATCAATATTCATATGACTATTAATGCATAATCTCAGGCAATTAAAAACCTCAAAGTCTATACCACCATAAGGTAAGAATCTAAAAATAAAAATGTATTTGAGAGAAGAAAATTTTCTTCCTAATGAAATATGAACATTATTAAATATAAAGTATTAACCCCCAAAGAATTAAAAAATTTCCCTAAATAATGAACAGCCATTAAGCTAAATTTTAAAATACTGCAGTCATCAATTACACTACACATGCTGAAGCTTTCAGTATATAGAAAGTTTCCAAAGTAAAATTAAATTTTCCTAACCATCACTCTTCATGGTTTGTCATAAGGAAAATAAGGATAGAGGAACAGATGGGAATTATTTCAACAAATTACTTCATTTCTATCTCATTACTGGACCAGTAAGAACTCTAGAATTTTTGCGTTTAATTTTGCCTTCCCTTAACATTCTACTATTTAGGAAAGGAACAGGCCTGAACAGAGAGAGATTCAAATCCAATGACAATGAAGTTATAACCTCAATTAATACTTTATTATTATTATTATTTTTTAACTGAAGTATAGTTGATTTACAATATTGTGTTAGTTTCTGGTGTACAGTGTAGTGGATTAATACTTAAAATTGAGTATAATATATCATACTTAATGGTAAAAGACTGAATGTTTTCTCCCAAGGATCAGGAACAAAACTAGTTGCAAAAGCAACTTCTATTAAACATTTTAATGGAGGTTCAAGCCAGGGGAATTAGGCAAGAAAAATAACTAAAAGACATCCTGATTGGAAAAGAGTAAGTAAAACTATCTTTGTTTGTAGAACATGATCTTACATAGAAAATCCAAAGGAATGTACACATAAAAAATCATTAGAGCTAAAAGAGTTTATTAACATTGCAGGATAGAAGGTCATACCCCCAAATTCATTATATTCCTATACACTAGTAATGAAAAATCCCTAATAAAATCATGAAAAGAACTCCATTTACAATAGCATTAAAAGAATAAAATACTTAGGAATAAATTTAACAGAAGAAGTGTAAGACATGTACACTGAAAATTATAAAACATTATTAACAGAATTAAAGATGTAAATGAATGGAAAGATAGTCTGTGTTTGTGGACTGAAGGACATAATATTGATAATATGACATTAATCCCCATATACTTGTCTACCAATGCTTACCACAGCATTATTCATAATATCCAAAAGTGGAAATGACCCAAGAGTCCGTCAAGAGAAGGATGAATAAACAAAATGTGGTGTATACATATAATGAAAAATAATTCAGCCATAAAAAGGAATGAAGTTCTGACATGCTACAACATAGGTGAACCTTGAAAACATTATGCTAAGTGAAAGAAGCCAGACACAAAAGGCCACATATTGTATAATTCCATTTACATGAATGGACAAAGCCAAAGAGACAGAAAGTAGATAGTAGTTGCCAGGAGATGAGGTAAGGGCAGAATGAGGAGTGACTACTAATGGGTACAGGGTTTCCTTACAAGGTGATGAAAATGTTCTGAAATTTGGAAGTGGTGGTGATGGCACAATGATGTGAATAACTAAAATCACTGAATTGCACACTTTAAAAGAGTAGATTTTGTGGTATGTAAATATCTCAAGAAAAAAATTTTTCTAAGGTGAAACAGTTGAAAAAGGAAAGATATAATACAAATTCAAGTTGAAACAATGAGCTAATCCATTTTAAACATTATGCCAACAAAAGATAAAAAGTTTATTAACACATCATGCTAGTGGGGGGTAAAAATATTGATAATTTTGTTGAAGTATAAATGGGTATAACTCTATGAAGTGTGACTTAGCAATAATGATCAAATCTAAAACTGACACACTGAGCAATCTATGCATATGAATATATTCTCATTATACAGCTGCATATACACACAAAAGTATACAAAAATTATCAGTAGGGCATTGATTTTTATATGGTAAAAGTTTAAAAACAACACATATGCTTGCATTTGCACAAAATGTTTATAGAAGGATATAAATATATACACAAAATTACTAATACTAATGCCTTGGGCAAGACGAACTGGAAGACTGGGAGCAGGGGTGGAAGAAAGATTCACTTTTCACCAGATACACTTTTATCTATTTAAAATTTTGTACAATGTATATGCATTACCTTGTTCAATAATTACTTAATTTTGGGAAGTGTGGTGATGACAGTCAAGAAAAAAACGTGTTCTAAGGCAACAGCTGCAATTTTTCTTATTTTTATTCATTGATAGATAGCTAGTATTAAATGATCAGAAATTAACAAAGGAATAGTAAATTTGAAAACCATTCAGGGATATATTTTAAGTTTCAGAATTAAACTAAATAGTCATAAAGAATAGTTACTACTTAAATATTTCACAAAGTGTTCTTTAAGAATGATAAAGTAGCACACTCTGACAAACCTTGCTTAAAGTAATTGGAATTTATCTTATTTCCTTATGTAAAGAAAAGGGTTAATACATCAGGCCTAAGGCTCTATCTCTAGAAGAGTTTAAGCAGGCATTTGGGAAACTGATTTTGGCAGTGTTCCTATCATTCCCTAACTGAAAAGGTTATTTACTATAGCTAGATTTTGCAGAGACAATGCATTTTTTGCTGAACACCTGCTTTCCTTCTGGGAGCTTGGAAATTTGGTATGTGCTGGACAGAGGGTGCCTATGTGACCAACAGCCAATAAACAACTTCAACTGGAGTCCATAATGGGCTTTCTTGGGCAGAAAAACTGCATACATGTTGTTGCATTTTCATTGCTGGGGAAAAGAGCATTTGGTGTGACCCATCTTGGGAGGAAGAAACTGGAAGGAAACCTAAACATGGACTCCTCTAGACATACAGCCCTGTAATCTGACTGTAGATCCCAACTTATCCGCGACTTATCACATGGCTGTAATAAATCTTATCCATGAGTACTATATTCTGAGCCTTGTGAGTCTTACCAAATCTTCCAATATGGATAGTGGCCCCAACATATCTTGCTCAGCAGGAACATTTTTTTTAATAACATGTCATACAAACCTGAAATTAAACAACTTTTACTCTAAGTTGGCTGCTTCTATGGAAATCTTGCTTTTAATTTGTTGCTATTTCTGCTAAAATGCATGTGTATTTATTTTCTTTGATATCATTTTCTTCTATATCAACCTTTCAGTTGAAAGGGTTTTAAAATCAAAATATTTAATGACCGACTCTGCCCTTAAGCAAAACATAAGTCAACAGAAGAAAACAGTGAGAGAGAAAGAAATGCGAAGAAGAAAATATTGACAGAAGAACGAACAAAATTCTGCTTAAGTATTATGTATCAGTGTGAAAGGTGACATTGCCTGCAAAGAATATTTTTGGTTCGTATTATGTATTATTATTTGAAGTTTTCAAAAATCCCCCCAATTTCTTGTAGTGAGCTGTAATGGAAAAGAATCTGAAAAAAAATATGAATGTGTAAGTATAACTGAATTGCTTGCTGTACACATGAAACTGATATTGTAAATAGATTATACTTCAGTAAAAAGTAAGAATATAAAAAGTTCCCCCAAATTTGATATACCATATAAATAAAACAGAATAAAAAGCCAAGTAAAATGTTTTAAAGCACAGACTGAAATTAACTACAATTCGAAAACAGAAGAAAAAGATTTTTACAGTCTACCATATTATGTACCATTTGACTTTTTAAAACAGTGCAGGCACTACTTCTACTTAAACATCTCCAAAGATATTTTACCTTGGGGTGAAAAATGTTAGATTCTGTTGTTCTGGCTACTTATCTTTAAGGGAAGAAGTTTTGTTTTGTTTTTTTAAATAAAATAAGTTTAGAGACAAGCACTAATCAACTTAAAGTCATAAAATTATAACTAATTATTTTAACATGTGAACACACATATAAACCTGGTCACTAAATCTAGTCACCCAATTCGACTTCAAAAATGATTCTGAACATATGGCATTGTGTAAATGACCACTGGTCAGAGACAGCCTTTAGTGAAAGTTATTTATTTTAATTTAAAAATAAAACCATAAATCTCTATTTCAACATTTCTGCTTTGTACAAGTATAGAAAAAAACAACCAAAAATGGACAAAATTGCTTCATTTACTTTAGTAATTATAGCTCAGTGATAGAATATTATATTTATAATGCATTAGAGAAAATAATTCTGTGATCTTTGTACCTGTTTCAAAACCTAAACAGGAAAAACAGAATTATTTAAATGTGGGGAGGAGTGGAACTTACGTAAGTTGATGTTTCCAAGCTATCTGTGTTGACCAGTACTGGAGGAGGATTTGCCTTAAAGAAAGAATTGTAAATGTGTTAGGCTTAATATGAGAATTCACACATTACACATTAACATTCACAAATGTTAGAAACACATGAAAGATCTGCTATTTCTTAAATTATAATTTTACACAAACTTTCCACATGTTAAACAATGCATACGGTTTCTAGCACCAATGGAAGAATTAGGTATAGGCAGTTAAGTCATATTTGCTTTTGAGAAATAAATGATTACTTCTGCTAAAACAGACACAATTTTCTTAAGATTTGCAAAGAAATTTACCAAGCCTTCTCAGAAAATCCACAAATATTCTCTAGTATAACAAATAGCTGCAAATTGCTTAGAATTCATTTGCTATTCTAGTGTCAACGATCCCATGAAGAGTCCCATCATTTTATCATCCAGAAAAAAAAAATCTGACCCACACCGAACTCTGTTTAAACACACACACAGACCCACACACAAAAGCCATACAAAGAAATCAATTCCAAACTTAACAGAATACTGGAAACATACTCAATGTAAAAGCCATCAATTATGATCAACTACAATGACTGCTTTCCATCTGTTATTCTAGACCACTCACAAATCAATAATGGTCAAAAAGCAAAACAAAACAAAAAACCAAGTAGAATAACTGAAAACAGCTTGGTCTATTAAGTAGGTGCAATTAAGTTTAAAGAATAAAACACAATTAATACCAAATAAAAAACATACCAGACCATACCAGAAGACTGATGTTATTCTTTTTAAAATTATCTTTCTTCTGTATATTTAACAGCATAAAAGTACAAAGTCAAATGACATTTTCAGAGAATCAAAAAGATGATTATCCTTTAAGTAAAGTTTGTTTATAAGCATTAACACTTCTTCTATTCCATTAACTAAATAATCAGACATAAAAGTTGCATGAAAGAAACATTATATACAAAATAATCATTTTCTTCCAGATGGATATTCAAATGTTTTATATTATTTTCAGCAAGTACTAGATCTGTATGATCAAATGATAAAATGCTAAAGACAATATGTTTACATGCTTAAATAATTGTACAGTATGCATCTGAGCTACAGGAATCAGCAAGTTAAAAATGAGTAGGAACAAGGATATACTGTATAACACAGGGAACTATATTCAGTATCTTTTAATAAACTATAGTGGAAAATAATCTGAAAAATATATATATAACTGAATCACTGCTGTACAGCTGAAACAATTAAAAAACCTGAAAAAACAAACAAACAAAAGTGAATAGGGAATACTTTATTAAATATAAACATGACATTAACTACTTTATGTGCAGGTCTACCTTTGAATACAATAGTCTATTTTCAAACAACTCAGTGAAAACCAAACCTAATAGGTAAAAATACTATTTGTGAGATAGCTATTTAAGTAAAGCGTGTCAAAACATTTGAGATTTTACGAATATTTGAAATTGTTCCTTTTCCAATGACATATTGAGATTCTGCAAGTTGATAATTTAATTCATTAAAAAATTAATGGTACAACTTCATCTTATTTTGCTTAAGCAATTACAGAGGAGGGCAAGAAAGAATAAGGCTATTTAAAGTCACAAAGAAGTTACATTCTTCAAAAATTATGGCAAGAAAACCATTTGGTTCCCTCTGCTCATTTATTACCAAAAATAGTGGAAAAAGTTGGTTTTTATCAAAATCAAATTTATATTAAAATTATCACAATATAGCTCTGCTCATGATCACGAACTCATCCTCACTTTATACAAGTTATCTTGATTTTAGTCATATAAAGATCTATGTGATATTTGAAATACCTAGAAATGAAATGATACAAAGTGTTAAATCTACTTCAAACTAAAACAATGACAATGAGAGGTTAGGAGAAGGAGGGGTTATGGTTCATAAAAGAGTGCATGAGTTGAAGGCTTTTGTACTGGGGTGATGAGTATACATGGGAATTCAATGTACTACTCCCTTTACATTTGAGGATTTTTGAATTTTTTCATAAAATACAGCAATCATAAAATACAGCAAAACAATTATATTGAGTCAAGTACTTAGTGTGAGAGGTTAATAACTAAGGCAGTTGTGAAATATAGGTTAGAGTTGCTATTAAGATATTAACATTCATGTCATAAAATTAATTTCAGTTTTAAAGTTCAGTTCTGAATAAATACAGACTAATAAAAAGAATTTATAATTCTGACTTAATAGATATGATGAGGTAACTAACATATGTACAATAAGTTAATTTGTAGATGTATGTTAGAATTAATATGAGTGAATGATCATACTTGAAGGGAAACCATGGGATTAAAGGACTTGAAATTGAACAAAAACCAGGAATGTTCACATTGGGGATTAAGTAAGAATTTCAATCAAAACTAATGTCAGGAGGAATTCAGCTTTTTTGAGCACAAGCAGGCCCATTTTCCTTGCTTGGCCCTGCAATAAACCTTTCTCTGCTACAGAAAAACACAACCACACACATACACAAAAACAAAACCCCCTAAAGTCAGGATAAGACAACCTAGCAATTTTTAAAAGACATGCCACAAAATATGGCCTAAAATAACAGCCTATATAAGTGAAGCTCAAGAGGTATGATGTGATGACCTCAAGTTTAGCCACCCAAAACGATAAAAATATTTTAGAATGTTAGCAGGTAGAAAATTAAAACATTTACCGTGGAATACATTACACCCTGACTTATTAACTTGAGATCTTCCAAATTCTTTTATTACAGCATACAGAAATGGTATCTGACAAAGTAGTACTCCATTCCTCTTGAATTTAGAGGTGGCAGGAATGGGGCAACACAAAAGGCTTGGAGGGTATGATGCACAACTCAGAAAGAGACAATACTCTAGCACCAAATCTGAAGAATAGGCTACTTCTGAAGGAAGAGATACATAAAAGTTTGGCCATGGAATTTGCTACTTTCAGATAGCTGAAGTAAAGGACACTAAAAATCAGTAGCAAATCTGGCTAGCTTAATACCTTGGGATCTGTAACCAGGACAGAGGGCAGCAGAACAGGTAACACAGAATTATCTGCTTTACTTAGGGAAGAATTTAAACAACAGCAACAAGACTTGAGAAGAATCTACGTGAAAGTTATTTTCAATGAAGAAAAACCCTTCCCTGCACCTCACTTTAAATGACACTTACGAAATAGTTCTAGATCTCTCTACCTCACTCTATCATTCAGTGGCTTTGAATGTACAAGTAAATCACAAGGGTTATTGAAATTTATTTTCTCCATCTATAAAGACACCGCAAAACATGTCTTTAGCCATGAGGACTGTGTGAGGACCCAGTAAAGTAACATAAAAGAAAATACGTTGTAAACCACAGAAATCTACTGCTAATCTATTATTTACTAACAATACATAACATTGTATATGTTTTAACTTAGAAAATAATGAAGTCCTATATTTCACTTAGAAATGGGGGGTAGTTAGTAAAGGGGCAGGGATATACCTGAAAGAGAAGCTAACAAATCTCTAAAGAATCTGACCGAAGTATTAGTAACAAGACGTAAACATAATTCTGCTCATCCAACTTTTACCACTTTATTTAGTTAATAAAAGGCCTCACAGGGTCTGTTGCTATAACATACTGCAACGTTCTTATGTAATTTCAGAGGGCAATATTATATTTTAAAACATTTGTGTTAAAATAATTCTAAGATCTAGTTATTTAATAGGCCAAAATTAGGAGTTCAGAAAATGCTTTTAGGCTGTACACTATATTTCTCCTTCTTAGCATTTATCAAAGTTTCATTATGTTATTGGTTTAATGTCTTGCTCTTTCTCCCCTACTAAATTATAAACAAGCGTTTTTCAAATGCAGAACTCACAAACCCCAGAAAGTACATCTTGGATTCTAATTTGAGACACACTGCATTAAACGTTAAATGCTATCACTTAGGTGAGCACTGCAAGTTAAAATGACTGTAAAAACAAATAGGATGAATTCTGGGAAGATGGCAGAACAAGACCCACAGATTTGTCTCTTCACCTAGGTAACAACTGCACTGGCAGAATGTAACTGCCAGTGTGATGTAACTATTTTGGAATTCTGTAGTCTGTTGAAGGCCTGGAACTTCCAAGGGAAGTATTAGGCGGCAAATTGTGGTTAATCCAGTCAATTTCAGCTCTTAGCACAGTAGCAGCTACTCAATTCCCACCCCTCAGCCCTGTTACCAATAGCTGTGCAAGTGTTTCTGGAGCAGCTGGCACAAAGCTTGCACAAGCCAGGAGTGGGGAAAGGGGTGGGTGGAAAAAAAAGATTCTGTCCTCCAAATATAGGGAATCTGTGCTTTGATTGCTGCTTCTGATCATGGAGGTGCAAACAGGCAGTAGCCACTGTTGTTGAACCTTCCTCAATTGATGTAATCCCTCCCCCTCTGGCTAAAGTGACTTCCAGGAGATTTAAAGAGCAAGCACCTCCTCCCACAATTTCATTTTTTCTCTTTTTCCCCTTTTGAGAGCCAGACACTGAAGATTGGAATATTCAAAAGCAACCACATATATGAGGGAAATTAGAAAGTCACTGTGTATGCCTGGAGAAGGTGCAGGCACAGAATAACACCTGAGAAGACCTTAAGGTTGTATCATAGGCTGATTTTTAGCAGAGAAATAGCCTACAACAATCAAAAAACGAAAACCAAACCAAACAAAAACAAAAACCCCCCAAACCCCAGCAAACTCTAGGAAAGAAGAGAATCTGATTTCCAGAGAACTCATAAGATTCAAACTTTTCATTTTCAATAACAACAACAAAAATCACAAGGCATGCAAAGAAACAGGAACATATGACCAATTCAAAACAGCAGGAAAAAAATACTCTCAAAAAGAGCTGCTGGCATATCCACTAGAAAAATTACTTAAAACTATATTAAAGATATCCAAAGAACTAAAAGAGGAACAAAGTGACGAAAAATGACATACGAACAAAATGGAAAAAACAACAGAAGATAAAAAACCTAAAGAGAAAACAAGAAAATTCCAGAGCTGAAAAGTACA